TTTAGGGTGTGGGGTTTAGGGTTGATGGCATCTGTGTCCAGGACGATGAAGGTTTTTTTTTCCCTCTCGCACTGCGTGGAGCTATGCTCACGGCGAGGTTTGCTTCAGAAAGAAAAGCGTGCGAAAGATATCACTGACTCTTGCTGTGTTTCTTTGATGAAGGTTTTTAGGGCTGAGGGTACAGCCCCTGAAGTTGTAGTAGTTGTTGCAATGTTTGTTGTTACAAGGTATTAAAACTGTTTGTGGCCTATCTGCGTAATCATTCTTATGATGGCTACCACTACCCGTCACGAGTGGAACTGAGAATCTCGATAAAGACCCAAAGACACCCAAAGGCATCTAATCAGCAAAATAAATGCGGTACCCAGGGTACCCTTGATTCTACATAGCCTCCTATATAACGACCCCCTGAATGAGGACTGCTGGAGTCCTTCTTGAAAGCTGTGCCTGCATCGCCATAGTTATGTAGGGGCCTTAATGATTAGANNAAAAGGAACCCGCAAAACCCTATTCTAATTATTAAGGCTCCTGCTGTTTCGGACTCATGGTTTCAATTTTTCGTGTCTTTAGGCTGACCGGCATGAAAAAACTAGACTAAAGCTAAAGGCGTCAGACTGATCGGTGAATGATGGCCTACAGTGATTCTTTAAGGCTATTAAGACCCCTAGGCTGTGCCGCTGTAGTACTTCCATTTCGGGCCAATTGCTTTGGGTTTCTATGCTTCGAGCGCAAATGCCGATGTCTTTTTTATTGCAGTGTTGGGTGCGATCCCCCATACAAGCTCTAACTATAGGCTTAAAGCCCTGCGAAGTGCCTGCGTGACACCGCAGTCCTCCAAAGGCAACCTCGCACGAAGATACTCCGAACCCTAAATCAGTCACATGCTCGTGGCGCCGCAACGTCACTTCTGTTCTTTAAATTACTTCCTGCACTCTGTTCAGACCTTCATTCAGAAAGCATCATTCATCTAACGAGTTGGGTGATTGGCTCATCGCCTCGTCTTCCTATGCACGAGCCCGAGAATCGCAACGGGTTTGCAGGACTGGGCAGATCCTTGGCTCGGGCAGAAATGTAAGCTTTGGACCAGAAACGACCCCTTTATCCCAGTGCGAACGGCGGAGGCTACACATTTGAGAGCATCATCATCGCAACAGACGTCCATCTCGCCGTCATCATCATGGTCATCATCAGCAGCTGCATCAGTACACAGCGATTCACCGCGGTGCAAGTGCTGTCTTGATGTTGCAGCACGCTCTATAAACCCTGCCGGCGACCGCTTGGCTTTGAGACTCCGATGACGCAGTTGCCAAGCCCACAAATGTTCATGGAATAAAACACTGCACGGTCGCGGCTGCAAGTCAAAAATTCGCCTCGGACTGTCGCTTCGCTGTGACTGCCTCGAGCCTCGGTGGGCTTGAAGACTTGTCAACTGGCTTTCTTGAAGATCACGGGTCCATTTCTTAGAGCCTAATAGGGGTCCTCACACAACAGAGTATACTGTTCAAGGCACCTTCTTTTTAGCTGGCTCCCCTTGCACATTATACAGTGCTGAATGGTGGTTTGGGGGATTCGGCGATCACCCTCGGTTGTCCAGGCGAAGCATTTCATGCTTTTTCGAACCCATTCTCGGATCATGCACTCTGCATCAGCTGGCAAGACTTCGCGACGCACCCAGGAGAAGATAATGGACGCTAGTAAAATGGGCGTAATGATTGACCTGTCACTTCTCGTCCATAGCTCTCTGTGATAAAAGACTATATGTCCACGGTCCATTCTCGTGTAGTGCTCTTAGTTTAGCGCACAACGAATCCTACCAAGACTCACCGAACGACCTGATATTCAACCCAAAGGTCAACCCCAAAACAGGTTCCTAGCTTTGCAAAACTTCCAGGTAGAACGCCGAAACCGCAGCAAGCACCTTTGTATACCAAAAACCGGTCAGTAGAGTACCCAAACTAAGCGCTGCTTAGCCGTCACTCTGCATGCGACAACAAACCCTGGGCCTGAATTCCCGAATCTCTAATCTTGAACGTGGATTACATGGGGCAGTTTTTTTTGGCATAGGGCATGGTGGGTATTTTGTTATATGGCTGCTATAAAGGATTTCGTTTACGAGTTATTCCAACCCCTATAAATGACGCTGATAAGCTCTTTACAGAGCTTTTTTCAGAACCCGATCTATCTACCTATCTATAGCATCTATCTATCGACCCATGATATACATATATGCGTGTGTATATGCATGTGTATATGTTTATATATATGTATATATATACGAATGTAAATAGAACTATAAAGTACAAAACTGCATAGAAATACGCATGCACAAATGTATGCATATAATATATATATATATATATGTGCATGTAATTATGTTGTATAAAAGCTTCACACCCCTAAAGCACAGTAGCTGCGAAGCCTGTGGAACAAGTGTCCGGCTAGGGCTCCTTCGGCATCGCACCCGTCCCTCCCGTCGGTGGCGCGCCCTGACGGTGCCAGCATGTGTATGTATAGTGTACGTTCGTATGTATGTATGTATGCATGATGCTACTCTATATAGAAATATGTGTGCATACATATACAAATATATACAGATCTACACATACGCACACATACATATGATGTACACAGTTGCCATCTATTTGCTTGTATTCTAGAAAATAGAAATTCCATGCTTGGTTCATGTATTTTCAATATATCCATATATATATATATGCATGTATATA